GAAAACATACAAAAGAAATATCAGGGCTGTCAACAATAGAAAGATCACACAATCCCACAGGAAGTATCCCTGGTTTAGTACTGTGTGTAGAGGATGGTGTCATGTGTACAGGCGTGATAATCAATACCTACAGATGTCATAGTGTAGACAGATGAAGAATATTATATTATTTTATATAAATGTGTTAAATAACATTTAAGACTTCATCAGTGTGTATTTCAAACAATGATCAGAGTTTGTATCTTTTGTCATTCCTGTTTAAATGTCTGTTCAATGAATATAACTACATTTAAATAATGTCATTTAAAGTATAAATTATCATAGAGCTATGAAATGATTCCTTCAACTATGGCTTTGGGTCATGTGTAGTGTCTATATGAAGCCCTAAAAGCTTCAGGTATTCAGGACTGAAAGCTCTGCGCTCACAAGTCATTACATCATATCCTCAGCGCTGAGAACACAGTAACAATTTCCATCTGAGGGCAGAGAAACACCAGCAGGGTGCAGTATCACTGTGATATTTACACACACAAACACATATTATTAAATAACTAATGGAAAACAACTTTATTCAAATTAAAGCAGGTGTCCAACACAACTTTTTCAACTGTTTCTGCATGATAGATGTGACAGACACTGGTAGTGTAGCCCCTGATCTCTATCTGGGTCAGGGATTTTAGAGTTTAAAAGGTGATGAAAGTGATCCGATGTCAGTCCAGCAGGGTGCAGCAGAACTCAGCCTCTGTGAGAGTGATCTGACTGTGGAGAGGAACTCTCAAAGAGCAGGAATATCTAAGTTTAATTAGTACATATAGTATATCTTCTATATTATAGCCTCGTGCTACATAAATCTCCTCTATGACAAAACCTGCTTCATCACTGTTTGAGTTGAAACACGTTGAAACATGTTCAACTGGAGAAGCTAAAGAAAGAACAAAACATGATTTGTGGGTGCATCGTAAAGGATAGATTTACATTTTTTTAAGCCTGTCATAAAACAACAGTCACTTGCCCAGATGTAGAGCCTAATGAAACTGCTTTTGGTCACAGTAATTGTTCAATTAAATTCAATTCAAAAATTATTTATCATCATAGGACAACTTAGTTTCAGTATTCCGTTCATATAAAACAAAAACAAAACAAAGACAACCACAGTCACTCAAGCATTCAGACACTCTATCAGTGACAACATATCAGCATTTGGGCCACAGAGCAAAGCAGCAAATTCACAAGTCACCATGAATGGACCATAATTCATAGAAATAAATAAATACACAGTGCTTCAGCACCTCTGTGCCTCCTGACCTTAGTGACTGAGAAGAGATTCCTTCACAGTACATTTCTATTGAACGTGGTGAGAGACAAAATCCACAGCCCTCACTCTGTGCAAAAAGTTCAGCCAGAGTGACTGGGAGGCTCATTTATAGGAAACAAGGTTGTGTAAGGAACAGATCTCAGTATGAAAAGGAGGATTGATTACAGTGACCAAAAACTGTTGCTGGACTGTACTTTTCTAGTCTTCCGACAACTCAAAGCGCTTTACGGTACATGTCACATTCACCCCAGTCATACAGTGATGAAAGAGGCTGCCATGCAGGGTGCCAGCTGCTCATCAGAATGTAACTAACATTCACATACCAACGGCACAGCGATCAGGAGCAATTTGGAGAACAGTATCTTAAGCACACTTCGACATGCAGACTGGAAGAGCCAGGGATTGAACCACTGACCTTCTGATTAGTGTTTTATTTCACTGCTTCCTCTGATGGTTTTGGTGACAATGACATCAGTGGCATTGGTGTTAACCTGTGTGCGTATTTGTGTATGTGCTCTATGTTTGAATTTGTTGGAGTGACATTTTTATTTATTGTTGTATTTACTGCGATTGACTGCTGTTTACAAGCCATATTGCCCCTCAGTGACATTAAAGCTTTACTCTCTATTCTGTAGTGTTCATTAAGATAGATAAAATGTGAAACTATCCTTTAACAAACCAATGAATGAATATGAGCCACCCAACCGAGCTGCCAGGTTATAGGCCAAAACAGCTTTTCAGAACTGTGGAAACCCATCACTCAGGCATTGTCTGTCCCATTGATAAAAACACAGAATGCTGACTCTGCTGAACTGCAGCCGGTCTAACGGCATCTATGTCCGGTCTGCAGCAGCTAGCAACCCCAAAAACCTCCCCAAACTGTCCCTAAAACAGCCACAACCCCGGCTGCCTGGCCCAGTTGCTCTTGGCCTGGAGGGGCATGGAGCTGCTAAGCCCCTGTGCTGGCTGGCCAAAGCCCTGTGGGATTAGACTAATGCAGGCGGCGGGAAGCCACTGGTGGTGAAACAACAGGCATGGGAAGTGACCCTTAGCTTCACATTAGAATTAACTGTTGGCTACAAACTATGGACGGTTGTCTTTAATTGCATTAGATTGTACAAGTGTTCATGTTAGTGTATCTGTGTTATGCATACACACATCAGCTATAACATTATGACCACCTGCCTAATATTGTGTAGCCTTGGATGTACCCTTTGAGGTATGGACTCCACTAGATCTTTAAAGGTGTGCTGTCGTATCTGGCGGCATGACATTAGCAGCAGATCCTTAAGTTCTGTAAGATAAGAGGTGGGGCCTCCACGGATCGGACTTGTTTGTCCAGCACATCCCACAGATGCTCGATTGGATTGAGATCTGGAGAATTTGGAAGCCAAGTCAACACCTTGAACTTGTTGTGGATGGGTGCACTGTCCTGCTGAAAGAGGCCTGGTGCCATGTGTTCACCTGGTAAGCGATGCACACACACACCTGGGCATCCACGTGATGTAACAGAAAAACGGCCGCCCATGACCCTGTCGCCGTTTCAGAGCTTTTCCTTCCTTGGAACACTTCTGGTATTTACTGACCACTGCAGATCAGGAACTCCCCATTAGAGCTGCAGTTTTAAATATGCTCTGACCCAGTAGTCTAGCCACAATAACAACTTGGCCCTTGTCAAAGTCACTCACATCCTTACGCTTGCCAATTTTTCCTGCTTCTAACACATCAACTTTGTGGACAAATTGTTGACTTGTATATCCCACCCACCTACTTCACCTGTCAGTGTTCATAATGTAATGGCTGATCAGTGTGTATAAGATTATCATTACTCATGCTTTTACGTAAAAGCAGGATTTTACTGCTCAGTGAAGCAATTCTTTTACTATTTCGTATCCAGTCGGACTGCAACTAATGATTATTTTCATTATGGATGATTGTTTTCTCAATGAATTGATTGTAAAAATTCAGAAAATAGTGAGAATTGTCATTACAATTTCCCATGTGACACCTTCACAACGCTTGTTTTGTTCAGCCAATAGTACAAAATTCAAAATGATTAAAAAGGAATTAAAATTTCTAAAATGATAAAAAGGAAAAGCAGCAAGTTCTCACATTGGCGAAGCTGGAACCATGACATGTTTTTACATGACTTAATGAGTTAAATGACCGTTAAATACAGTTGAATATATAATTCATTTTCTGTCAATCAACTAATCATTTTAACTGTAACTGTATATACTGTTGTGTAGTTCAATGCCAAAACATAATTTTTTAGGAAGCTCTTCCTATGTTTTGTTTGCAAACATCGTGATTTGTAAAGTAAGGCTGTCAGATAAATGTAGTGAAGTAAAAGTACAATATTTCCCTCTGAATGAAATGCATGAAGCTCTAAACCATCTGGTGCTTCAGAAACCAGAAATAGTAAATAGTCAGTTCTTTGATATTTTGACCGATGTGTTCCGCTTTGATGTCTTACAGAGGACTCTGTCTGATACACTTTTTACAGAGACATGTGCTTCGTTCTTGCTATATTTTAAGGTAGTAGGCTGATTTTGATATTGTCTTAATGCGGTGGGTCTCAAAGTGGGGTCCAGGGACCCCCAGGTGTCCTTTAGGGGCTTCCAGGGGGTCCCAGACAAAAAGGGAAACTATATTTTTTTTATAATTACATCCATAAGTAACACAATAACAGAATGTGTGACAACTTGATTGCAGAATACTTTCTGTAATAAAACATCTAAAAGCAAAAACTCATGTGTGTCCTACATGTGAAAAAAGTTTGAGAACCACTGTTAAAATGTCAGCTCGGTTTGTGGTCTTGAAACATTCGGGGTTCAAGGTGAGCACTGACTTTTACTTATTCTTCTTTGGCACCAAAAGCAATTAGCTCGGATCTGTCATGTCATATTATAATGGTAAGACACAAAACCCCAATAAGAGCAGTCTCACAGCTGTTGTATGGTGAAAATCCAAACTGAAAAGCATAGTTACAGCATAGTTTAGGGCCGGGACATGGTTTACAGCCCTTTCTGTGGTTTTCCTTAAAATGGGCCTTTACCTGTTCATTAGTGAGTTGAAGTCATCATGACACAGTCTGCAGAAAGAGGGCTTCCAATTGGCTTAATCTTAATTTCTATTTAAAAATCTCAATGGCAGTTTTTTTTAAATACTGCTGTTCTTTTGACTTAAGTAGTCTACATTAGTTAAATGTTAGTAATAACAAAAAAAATCTGTTCTCATCTCTCCACGTCAGTTGTTGTTGCTCCACTGACCCTGGAGAGCATTGTTTCTAAATCTGCCCTCCGTCCAACCACACGGGCAGAACAATACAGCTGCATTATGTCACTGACTGACTGACAGAATAGATATGTGTGTGTCTGTTTGATGCATTATCACCCAGGTAAAATCCCTCTCTGTCTTTCGTTGGCTTCCTGACCTCATTGTCTCTGCCATGCCCTTCTCCTCCCTCCTCTGCGTCCAGTAGGGTTTGTTTTGGCAGCTCTGGGTGTCTGGTGTGTGGGTGGCCCTGGGTTGCACCAGGGTGTGGACTGCTCAACCCTGATTCTGCTGACGGGGCCCAACCCACCATGAGATAATGCCATTCCAGAGGGATCGTGACTAAAGCCCCTCTTTTTGGCTCTCAGGTATATAAAGAGGAGACAGCTGGAGAGCAGAGAACAAAGCACTCTGGAAACATTCTTCGCTTTTCATCCACATTCTGCTCTCTCTATCTTGCCTCGCCTCCCTTTCCTCACCTGCTGGTCTCTGAGCTGCGCAGGTACATCTGCCAAACTGAGCCAAGCCAAGCCGAGCTAGACCAAACCTCTCTCCAGTCGCTATGGATATTGCCATCCAGCACCCTTGGTTCAGACGTGCCATGGGCTCTGTCTACCCCGCCCGACTCTTTGACCAGTTTTTTGGAGAGGGCATGTTTGACTACGACCTCTTCCCCTACACCACCTCCTCCATCAGCCCCTATTACAGACAGTCACTGTTCCGCAGCTTTTTGGATTCTTCCAACTCCGGCATCTCTGAGGTAACACCCGACTCTGGCTCCTTCATGTCAGTAAGCACATTAGTGCTTTGGAGAGACTTATATGGTCATAGGAGAACAGATATAAAGACAGAGTGATGTTGAGATAATGCCAAAGCTCATCTAAACATGTTTCCTAAAAAGGAAGATGCTTAGTTCAATAGAATTTTCCCTTCTAACACTATTTTTATCTATCATTAGTAACTTCTATCCCCCTTTTCCCATCCACTGTTCTGATCTTTGTTCAGTCGTTACATTTCTTTCAACTTACATTCAATATCCTGATTTTTTTTTGGTTCATTCCAGACAAAGTCCTGAGATTCAATGCTCTACATCTAAACATAACTTCTACTGTGCTCAACAGTCAAGAAACGACGTTTCTAAAAGTTCGAGAACTTACACTTTGAGAGGTTCAATCTCTTAAATCTATATTCTGACCATGTTATGGTTTGTGTGTGTCCCGTAGGTGAGGTCTGACAGGGATAAGTTCACAGTCTACCTGGACGTCAAGCACTTCTCTCCTGATGAGCTCAGTGTGAAGGTCACTGACGACTACATGGAGATCCAGGGCAAACATGGGGAAAGACAGGTACTACTCCTCTTCTCTCTCTTATACACACAAATAGTAAGTAAGACTGCTTAATAACGCATGGGGTTGGTCAATTATTTTGGTTCTATTCCCTCCAAAGTGCAGTGTAACCTTGATCCAAAAGTAACTTGAGCTGAGAGAGCGCTATGTTTTGTAAAACATCCGTAGTGGAACAAATGTGAGGTACTTCTATTTCCATTTTGAGCCACGTTATCCTACTATACCACTACATCTCAGAGGCAATGATTGTACTTCTTACTCTACTACATTTGTCTGACAGCTAGTTACCAGTGACCTTTTAGTTTTTCATACCCTTACTGTCCAGTGAAAACCATTTATGTTCTAATTTGGTGATTCTGAGATTTTTGAGATTTTCTGATAAACTGAACTCTGTGAGTTGAGAACCTTCGCCTCCTTCTTAAGCTAAATGAACATTTGGATTAGCTGGAAAATGCACAAAGCTGAAAACAGGGCGGTTCTTCTGAGCTCTTTACAGTACATGTCACTTTCACTCATCCACACCCTGTTGGCAGTGGCTATCGTGCAAAGTGCCAACTGCTCATCGTAATATCATAATGGAACTAACATTCACACATCAATAGGAACAATTTTGGGTTCAGTATCTTGCTCAACAACACTTCACCAGGAGGAGATGGGGTCGAACCACCGACCTTCTGATTAGTGTACGACTCTACCGCTCTACCTCCTAAGACACAGCCACCCCCCAAAAACATAACATATAATAGTAAAACACTGACAGGAGCCATTTTTCTGCACAATAAGTCTGTTTACTTTTGATGCTAAAAGTACATTATGCTAATAATACTTACACACTTAAGTACGGTTTTGAACTTAGCACTTTTACTTGGGGAGTATTTTAACTTTGACCTGTGAATACATCTTCCACCACTGTAAAACACAGATTGAAAAATATTGTCTTGTAACTGCTTAAAGGTATTTATAAGAGGTGTTCTTTAATATTCAAAAGAATTTATTATAAGAGGGGGCTCCATATTTGAAACACTGTAGGTGTAAATTAATTTTATCAAGACATCAGAATATTCACAAAAAGATTGACTGCTCCGCTGCACAGTGGACCCTTTCAAAGTTAATTTAAATGCTACATGTACTGTGCATTATTATGAGTTTAATACCAGACACAATATGGTCAATGTTGGCAAACCCTTATAGTAGCCTTTATAGCCATGGCATTACTTAGTACAGTGGTTCTCAAATCTTTTCTGTCATGTCTGTCTTTAAGAAGCCAAAAAAAGATCATGCTATAGAAAACACATGAGCCAAATCCGTGACATTCAGCTGCAAAACATTTGAAATATGCTACAGGAGCTGCAAAATAATTGATAATTTGTTGTAGTTCCTGATAAAACATTGATCCAAGTTCAGTTTTGGTATTTAAGTTCAACTGTGAGATTTGTTGAGTTTCAAAACAGTGAATTTGTAGGAAGTGTTGGCCACTATTGGTCTGTAAGTAAGTGTTATCTTTAATTTATGGCCATTTATATAAAGACAGGACTTCATTCTCGGAGTTAAATTTTCCTTTAATAATTAAGTCTTTCCCTGGACTGACCCTGCCATCATGGCATTAATCCTGCTGTTTTTCAGGACGACCACGGTTACATCTCTCGTGAGTTTCACCGCCGCTACCGCCTCCCTTCCAACGTTGACCAATCAGCAATCACCTGCACCCTATCAGCTGATGGTCTGCTGACTCTGACCGGGCCAAAGGTCTCTGGGGGGAGTGAGTCCGGGCGCAGCGAGCGCAGCATCCCCATCACCCGTGATGAAAAGACCAACGCTGCTCCATCCTCCTAGAGGCCGAGCGGTGGGAGTTGATCAGGGGTGCTGGAGGGGCTCGACTCTCCTACCACCTGCATCGACCGGGATGGACAACCACAGAATCTTCCACCCCTTGGCTTCTTCTTCTCCCTTTCCCCGAGAGGATATCTGCGTCCTCCTCACTTCACTTTCTCCTCTGTAGATTCTTCGTAGCACACTCTCACAGTATTATTAGTATAATTGTTTTGAGCTTAATATAAATCTCCCCATGAGGATGGTTAAGTGAGGGGCAGAGGAAGTTTTTTAGTCGCAAACTCATCTACGGACGAGACATTCACATAGCCTACGCTTCATTCTGCTGATTGTTGTTTGATGTGTGTCAGAGCGAGCCCTCTGACTGTACAGATGGTTAAGCTTGGAGGTAAATGTCACACATGTCTTGTCCCAGATTTTCCCATCAGTGAAGCTCTCTGAAGCCCTGGCTGCTTCCATTCTTGTCCTCACTCTCTGAATCCTCTCCTCTCTTGTCTTAAATATATCCTGTACTGTAGTCTAGGCCTTGTTCAATGGATGCCCGCTCATTACTCCATTCTCCAAGTCCATACTAAAGAAACATACAATAAAGCTGTACAATTAACAAAAAGGCAACTCTTGTGTGGATTTATTCTTTAACCTTCATATCAAGTTTCAGTTCAATGAATGTGGTGCCTATTGCTAACTATGATATTATGATACCGGGTGCCTATGGCTCAGGACGTACACCAATCATACACTAATCAGAAGATCGGCCGTTCAGTCCTCCAGTCTGCATGTCAAAGTGTCCTTGGGCAAGAACCCAAAACCCAAATTTCTCCCAATGGAGACGTGAATCCAATGCGGAAGTCCCTTAAACCTGCATTCTATTGAACGGCCAGCAGGGGGCGATTCTTCTGGTTGCAAAAAGAAGACGGCTCCATTAGAAAAAATGGTGAAATGACCCTACTTCGCAGCTGATTCATTACCTCCTTAAACACTTTCATAGTAAGTTTATGGTCTCAATCACTAGTTTCAGGTCTTCTTCAATACAACACGATGTTCATTTTAAATTATGGTCCCATTTAGAGGAAAATAGACCATAAAGCAGAGTATGCTACAGGGCGGGATTATCTGCGATTGACAAGTTGTTTACACGGCAATCTGTCAATCAGGCCACGGCACTGTGTAAATTTAACCGGCGCTCTATCGGCCAAACTCGAGGCTTCAAAACGGCAGTCCACAAACCAACGGGTGACGTCGCGGTGACTACGTCCACTTCTTTTATACAGTCTATGCTTTTAACACTAAAAATTACCCCCGTTCTGGCCCACTTACACTGGCTTCATGGCATTGTGGACACCTTTAAAAAGCATCTGAAGACCCACCTGCTTAAACCTGCCTTTGTTTTTATATTTTTCTCTTGCATTGTGTTAATATGTTAAAGTTTCAGTGTGTAATATGTAGGAGGATCTATTGACAGAAATGCAATAAAATATATATATATATAAAATAGCCTCATTTTAACTGTTTTATATACTCTTAGGTAGTTTAATCTACAGCAATGAAGAAAGAAGTAAGTCTCAATAAAGGAAAACTTAATCCTTAATTCAAATTCAAAATTACCAAATTTGGAGATAGGCCAACATGGTTTGAATAGACATTCAAGGTCAACCGTATTGTCAGTTCTGCCATTTGTACTGGACATATAGAAGATCAAAATGTTCTCTCAGACCCTGGTTTTGGCAAATAAGTACTAAAACAAAGGGTGTAAAAATACTAGGATAAATTAAGCTGGGGTTCAGGGGGATCAACAACAAAAACTGGGGATGCAAAGATGTACAACGTGACATCCACAGGATGAGTACTTGTTTTTAGTGTTCTGTACAAAGTTGCTTATGCAGTATAACAAAGTTCTTATGGCTGGTGGTGGTTGGTTTCTATGTGGTCCACGACTAAAAGTAACTACTAGCTACAGTTGTCAGGCAAATGTAGTGGAGTAAAAGGTCCAGTATTCGCCTCAGGGTGTGTGTGTGAATCATCAGCTGCTTCTACGTGACAGAAAGACAGTTCTCTAAAAGTGTGCAAACATCACAACTTTAATGTATCTTGTACAAACCTGTATTACAATAAGTGAGTAACAAACCATGAGAACAAATCTGAAGGCTCAACAGTGCAAGTAAAAACAGTCATAAAAGTTTAGATATGAAAATCTGTTCCTTTAACTTTATAGGTGTGATGTGCTATAATAGCTCTGATACTCATATTGCACTTATACGCACAGAAACAGACAGATCTGATGTGACATGAAAGGAAGTTAAACAAGAGGAGGAGGAGGACTGGGCTGAACATACTGAATCCACATTAGAGGCTGCTCTGTTTACACCCCCGGCCCTGGAAACACACAAACAGTCTTCATTTTATCGCTTCTATGCTTTACTGTTAAAGACACACTTAATAAGTCATCATTTTTAATTAGACCTCCATAATTTTCACATTTACAATATTTAAAACTAGGCCTTGGGCGGTTCATCACTATTGTCGACTTACTTGATTACAGAAATACGTTGATTTGCATAACGTGCGTCGGCTCCGCTAATCCTGTTTCCTTTTTTATCTCCGCATAAACTTGGATATTTGTAATAGACAATATGATTGATGAAATTTACACAGTTTTTGATCAAGTTGGCTAAGGAGCCTACAGAAGCACTGGCAAAAATACAGCAACGTATAGGTGAAGACGAATTAAGTCCTCCTTGTTCAAAGACGGTGGCACATGTTGGAACACAGTTTGGTGACTGCCAGTCAAGGTATTTTAACAACAGAGGTAAACAAACCTACTGTCCTACGAGAAAAATGTTGCATAATAATGTATGTAGCAAAAGTAAACACATATATTTAGACCCTAATCTCAAAAAGCCTTTCTTGGCTTTTTGAAACAGGAAAAGGCCAAACACTATTATTGTCTTAAATTTTATGCTGTAGCATTAAGATTTCCCTCAACAAAGACCACATCATGAAAGAACAGGACAAGGGGTGTCCCAGTACCTTTGCCCATATAGTGTATTTTAATGGCGGTACCTGTTGGAGGGCATTCAGGTCCTCCAGGGTCTGCTGGGCAGCCAGTCTCAGGCTGGGTTGCACCTTGGAGGTGAGACGACTGACCCGAGCTTGGAGATCTGGATCCAGCAGGGAGGAGCCCAACAGGAGCAGCACATCCTCCTCCAACAACACCGACTGCAGGAGACGCAGAGAGTGGAGACAAACCTCCCAGTCTCCATCTGTCAGACAAACAGATCACATTTACATTTACATTTATTCATTTAGCCGATCAGATCAGAGGTAGTGTGGAGGCTGACACCTAGACACTGTGTTTTTGTTTTGTTTTTACAGGGACATAGTCTGTATAATTTCCATCTGTAATAACAATTTATTTGTGATATATTAAACTCAATAAATCTTCATGTAGCATGACCCCATGCTTTTAGAGGTGAAAAAGGAACTCCAGCATGATAGCAGATTAACTGGCTTGGGAGAGATTAAAGCACATGGCTAACTGACACGCAGAGGGGGGAAGGACAGAGAGGCTGTCCCTCAAACAAACAACAAATTTACTACCAGGAGGACTGCCATATTTGGTTTGGGATCATTATCACAGTCTCATTCACCGCCCTCAAGAAGACTTTTCTTCACAGCAGACATTTTGACTTGTCATAGTATGAAAAGAATTGTAACTTCCTACTTGTTAACTCGGGGCAAATCCATCAACCCTGACTTCATGAAGTCATCTGACATCACACAACAATGGCAGCTCCCATGAAAGTACATTTCAACCTGGTCAGGAGCACCTTCCCCTCAGTATAGCATCAGTATCAGTTTTACAGAAAGAGCAGTGTCTGTGTTTTGTGGCGGTACTGAAAGACATCCCATCCGGATTTCTAAATACCCTGCTATATGCCGTAATACTGCCCAAGCCTACTTATAATTTAGAGAACTACATAATATATTTTTGACCCATCAGGTTGTCATTTTTTTAGGCCCACAAACAAATGAAACCAAACTTAATTTTTTTGTACATTTCTGAATTATTGTGTCAAAGAAAAAGAGCAAATGCAGAAATAAGTGAAATCCCCAAACTGTCCTGACATAAATGCCCTAGTTTCACCAGAACTGTACATACCAGCTTTTCAACTTCTTATCAGTGGTTTCTTTGGTGCACATCCGTGTATGTGACATTTATGTCCGCATGTCTTCAAGTTTGTACCAGAGTTGAGTTGCTCTGAATGAGACTGGCGGTCTCCTTACCGTCCAGCAGGGTCGAGATGAGAGGCAGGAGTCCTGGGTTCTCACTGATGTACTTCAGTCCTTTAACACTGATGCTGACATTATACAGAGCCATCAGCATCAACCTGCAGCAAAACACGAGCAGTCAGTTTTACTAATCCACTACTGTGTCCTGCAGAAGAACGTTGCTGACACCTACTGCCCACATCTAGACACTAACACGCATTCATTTGAGCTTGATCAGTAAGTGGTGGATGTGCACCCATGGCGGCTGGTCTACACTGTCTAGTTCAATGACTGATCGTGTTTCTTTATTCTGGGTATATGAGCTTTTGCTCAGACAAGTACAACGAATGTTTCAACTTTAAGAGGTCATGCCATTCATTAAATTAAAGGTTATGTTTTTTTCTTGTCTATAAACACTCTATTGCACTATGAAAACTCATCATTCCTCCTCTCCAACAGCGTGAAAGTTGTGAGTGGATGTCCAGGACAAATAAGAAGAGGTTTAATGTCAATATATTCATAAATGAACAAGCTATTAAAATAACAACTAGGGCTGGGCAATAAAACAATAATAATAATTATCGCAATATAGTTTTCCTCAATAACAGTATAACAAATGTTCAATAAATTGTCAATAAATATTTGATTTAATTCATTTAATTCACAAGCAAAAATTAGCACTTAATCTTTCTATTAAGATATTTATTTTGTTGAGGGAAATGGACTAAAACAAGATTTACAAATCATGTTTTTTGAAAGAATAATTTATCATTATAGTTTTGAATTTTCTGCCTCAGATTCGTGTTTGTCACATTGTGACCATAAAGAAAAGTTTAACCACACTTAACCATCAATTAACAATCTGGTATCTTCAATGTTTACTCAGGAGCAAAAATCTGCCCTTAAAGAAATAATGATTGACATTTATCGTGATAATTAGCGATATCGAACAGTATGAATTGTTTTTATCGTGATAAAATTTTTGGCCCTAATAACAACCTTAACAAAGTTCATAAATATTTAATCAATTCATTCTCTTTATCAAACTCACAGGTGTGAAACGTTTAAGGGTTGTCACTGTCTATATTGGCAGTGGTTTGAGATTTCTATGTTGAAAAATAATGCAAGTTATAGACAATTGAAATAGATCTCACTGCACTTTTAAGACTCCCTAACTCCGCCTATAGTGACAGGTGTGTCAGAGAGACATTCAGTTCTTTTTGCTGCAAACTGCATCGTCATCTTTGGTGATTTTGAGGTGATCAAAACTGTGAAACATCTGCCTAAATTAGCTCCCTTTAACATATTCCAAAATTGTGAGAAATCAAGGCTCTAAAAAAGAGCTATTGACAGGTAACAGCCGCAAAACTAACTTAACACCGGTTTCCATACACAACTCTTTTCTTTTCAACAAGAAGAGGCGGAGCTGAGCTGTTGCTGCAGCTGCACTTGTTGCTAAATTCCACATGTTCGGTACCTAAAACAAGTACGAATGTGTAGGTTGATAGCTTTGTTTTTGCAACAATCCTGCATGCACATTACCCTCCGCCACAGGTCAGGATGGAAAGATGGAAATACTGCCTGTGGAAACCATGGTGGAAACACTAATTGGGTATTTGGTGCGAAAAACATTGGAAGATACCAACTTGATTTAAGGGAATTTGCTGAAGCCTAATATTAACTTCAGCTGACAAAAGTCATTTTTATACAGAATGAGGACAAAACTGGAGGACTCATTCATTCTATGAAAGGATTGCTTGTGTCGGGTCGCGAACGAGCTCTATGAGTCGGCTCCTTTCTGTAGCATCTATTTCTTTTCAGTACAATTCATTAACAAGCTGTCAATCCGTATGGCTTGATTATGATGCCCTAATAATGGGCAGAGCCAAACCCAGTGAGCAAAAAAGGTAAGGGGGTGAAAACTATATGACAACTGTTTTAGGTAAAAAAAACAAAAAAAACATTCATGCGTTTGTTTGTTTGTGTGTGCAGAATCTACACATTTCATGGTCAGGGTCCAAACTAACCTTGGCTAAGCAACAATGTCAGTGGCATGTAATGTAATGAAAACAATCTGATTTTAATAATGTAAATTGCTAATTCAGAAGAAAGCAAAGCTGGTGTACAGAGGATCTAATCCTGTCATTGTTATAATGATCAGATGCAGCTTTATGTTAGATATTGTTTCGATAAGTTTCTCTCTTTCAGGCCATGTTCAGACCAACAGTGAAAAGACCAGTGGTTTGCGTTCTGCATTCTGTGGCAGCTTCACGTACACTTTCAGTTTGGGGAAGACACCAGGCTTCATCAGCTCCAGAAGCTTCGTCAGAGTGTCCAGTAGGACATGAGCCGAGCTGGACAGGAAGTCCCGCCCACACGCCACTGCTGCTATATCTGATTGATGGGAGACAAAGACAAGGCAGGTGACTGGAGGACGGCTGGTCTGGAGTCGCTGTGAGACACTGACACACAGTCAATTGACATTTTAACTTGTTTGAGATGGTCACGGTGTCATGTGAATGCAGTTTTCTGTTGTGTTCTCGCCATCAGCCTGAGAAATGACATTCTGACATCCACAGCGACTAATGACTTGCATACATATTAAACAAGGGCAGGAAATGCACAAGAATAACGTGACTCAGAGGATCCAGGCGAGGCAAATCTACTCGTGTACAGAAAAGTGGTGTAAAAAATAAATCTTATAGAGTGTGTTAGAAGCTGTGAACTCACTAGTAATGGTTCCAGCCAGAGCCAGCACAAACTGGTGATCCTGGGAGTTGTGGTCCTCAGTTTTCATCTCCTCATCCAGCGACCTGACAAAGCTCTCCAGAGTCTGAGCAGCTAAGGTCAGGAAGGACTGCAGCTTACCCTGCACCATCAGCACACATAAAGTACACACATCAGACAATATGACTCCACCAATCAGATATCAAATTATGTCACTGTTTAATATGAAACTCTGAGAGTCTGAGACTGCCATTGGGATTAGTATAATAAACACAAACACACACAGAAAGACAGGCTTGTGGAGATGACTCACATCAACCAGCCAGTGCGCCACAGTGTCCTCCTTGGCAGAGCAGCTCCACAGCAGACTGCAGGCTGCAGATCCCAGACCAGAGCAGAAGTCTGCCTGCTGCTGCAGCTCTGCTCCGCTCTGCCACAGCTGCTCACGTAACAGCAGCTTCTCCTACACACACAAATGGCAAGGTGTCTTGATATCACAAAACAATGGACGAGGAAAAGCCATAAAACTTTTAATTATTTTCTATATAGGGACATTTTTCAATTTAATTTTTTTAATTTATTAATAATTGTGTTAATTTATAATGATACGCTATCTGCATTGCTATATAGCAGCAGAAGTCTGATATGTTTAAAAGCGTCTCATTGTTGTGTAAAGAAACATGAGATGAATTTTACATTTAAATTACGTTGCCTGCCCTCTCTCACCTCTCTCTCTTTCTGACATTCAGTCTGCACTGCATCCAGTCGGGACTGAAGGTGCAGACACTCCTGTTGCAACTGCTCTTGTTCCACCGCAAGGCGCTCCCTCACTATGCACACACACACACACACACACATACATACACACTGTCTGTGGGTTTGCGTGTTTACCTTGCAGTTACCCAGGTCACGTGAGATCTCTGTGCTGTTAACTAACAGCAACTTGCTCGCTATACATTCTATTAGATGTTTAACCAAGAGTAGATTTGGTTAGTATGGATATTATTGGTGTTGTTTTCTGGGGGCTGTCTTCTGCATTTTTATATATATATGTACGCTTGACAACATGCTAACGCTAACATGCTTTTTAATAACAAATAATAGCAATAGCTGACAATATTTATTTGTGGATTATTTATGATCTAATCTTATGATCTTCAAACACAGAATCAGAATTGAAAAGCTTAAAACGGAGTGTAGTTTAAAGAGAAAGGTCCTGTCAGCCCTCATTGTGTGTCACTTTACCTTCTAATAGCAGTTTTTAAAAGCATGTTACGACACACATGTACAACAGTAATAACTAGCTAACACTTTAAGTGTAAAAATGTAACGTTGAATGTTACTTACTTAAACAGTAAATCTGCACTGTTCCCGTAAAATTAACTGAACTAGCTCAAGCAGGTGACCGGGTGGGCTTTAAGAGGTTTAATACATCCATTGAACTTTAAAAACCAGACCAGCACTGGGTTGCACCAGCTGTGTGTAAGTTCTCTCCTAAGTAAGGGCGTAAAGTGGACACTAAACACTTCATCGGCCCAACCCTAACATTTAGCCACAAGAGCCTCATCAAAACACTCCAAAAACACTGGAGATGACAGTTTGCACACCACTGTTACTCTTGTCTTACAGTCACTATATAACACACCATCCACCTTATTTTCTGCCTCAAGGTTAGGTTTAATGGAAGCGTACTTGTCTGAGCTGCTCGAGCTTTGTGCAGCATTTCAATCAGGTCTCCATTCAGAACTCTGGGCAGGAACTCCCTCAGCTGCATGACTTCTGTGGTTAACTTCTCTAAATCTCTTTTCCTCACTCTGACAAACTCATCCTGAAGGACAAAAAAAGACATACCTTAATGCAGACATGGCTTGGAAAAGATGTTAAGAAAGCGTTTTAAAAGGTACGCACCAAAATAACTCATCTCTACACATGTGGTTTTTCAAGTTGCCACTAATACAAAATGATGGACACAGGTTGCAGGCTATCTGTGTTTGACCTAGTAAGCCGCCTGAAGTCACAGGTTAAGCGCTGGTTGTCTTCATATGAGATAAAGCTGCTGAACAGGATGTCAGGACCAGTTCATTAAAGTGGTCCCTGCAGTGTTTAAGCTGGATGAGGTCAATTAACTTCATGGATATCATTGTTTGGTCAAACAGTGAAAAGTTACATTCACATTCGGGCGGCAGCTAATGATTGTTTTCATTGCTTTTTAATTATTTTCTCGATTAATCGATCAGTTGCTTTGTCTGTAAAGTTTCTAAAAATTGTTGATCACTGTTTGATCTGCTGTTTCCCAAAGCCCAAGGTGACGTCCACAAATGCCTTGTGTTTGTCCACAACCCAAAGATAGTCACTGACATTTACTGTCATAGAGGACTAAGGAAACCAGAAAATATTTACATTTAAGAAGCTGGAATAAGATATTTTTTCTTTTTAAAAAAATGACTCAAACCGATTATCAAAATATGACTCAACCAATTATTCCATTTATTGTTGCAGCTATAATTTTAATCCCCGTCACTTAACAGGGGTCCAAAGTGGAAATGAAACACAAACTTACTCAGATCCTTATGTCAATCACCATCAGAGGTCTAAGGATCATTTTTATTCTATTCCAGCTTTTTAAATGTGAATGATTTCTTTGCTCCTCTTTGACAGTAAACTGTTTATCTTTTGGGTTTTGGACAAAACAAGCCGTCTGAGGACGTCATCTTGGGCTTTGGGAAACACTGATCGATTTTTTTCACCATGTTCTGACATTTTATGGACCAGACAACTAATCGAGAAAATGGTCGACAGATTAATCGATAATAAAAAAAGCAGCCCTACTTGTTGCTGATGCTCTGCCTGGCCTGTGAAGCCATCCCTGCTTATTGCTTGTTGTGCGGGCTTTTTGGACTTCCTCATAAGACACACATGATCAGCTGGACTGAGGTCTGGGCTTCTTGCTATATGTTTAGGACTGTAAAGCTACAGCTGCAAGGTCTTATTATTTTGTGAAAATGTGCAGCATAACTGTCCGGGTGCTTTTACCCTGTATTAACCCTTTGATCCCAATTGATTAAATACTACAACAACCTTTTGTAGTAACTATTTCATTAGTTACCAGTAACTATTTATTAGTTACTAGTGACGATTTGCACATTTTACCATTGAAATCTGTGGGGCTCTGCAGTTCAGATATCACCTATTCTTCCATCACTAGTAACTAACTGAACAGTTACTAGTGACCATTTCCATTTTACTAGTCACTATTATTTATTTTTAGAGTACCTATTCCATAAGTTACTAGTAACTACTAAATTCTTACTAGTACGAATTGAACAGTTACTATCAAGAAGCCATTTACTAGTCATTAATAAATGACTAGTAACCCAAAATAATGTACTAGTAAGAATGAAAATGTTACTAGTATATTTTGGAATAATTACTAATGAATAATTAATAGGTACTTATCTAAATAATAGATACTAGTAATATGGAAATGAATGAAGAGATGATATCTGAACTGCAGAGCCCCATAGATTTGGCAAAAATGTGCAATTAGTTACTACTAACTATAAAATTGTTACAAGTAACTAACAGAATAGTCAGTAGTAACAACAATTTAATTACCAGTATCTAATCAATTGTTACTAGTAAGACAGGAATAGTTACAAGTAGCTAATGGAATAGTTACTGGTAACTTAAAAAATCCACTAGTATCTTATCAATTGTTACTAGTAAAACAGGAATAGTTACAAGTAGCTAATGGAATAGTTACTGGTAACTTAAAAAATCCACTAGTATCTTATCAATTGTTACTAGTAAAACAGGAATAGTTACAAATAGCTAATGGAATAGTTACTGGTAACTAAAAATCCACTAGTATCTTATCAATTGTTACTAGTAAAACAGGAATAGTTACAAGTAGCTAATGGAATAGTTACTGGTAACTAAAAATCCACTAGTATCTTATCAATTGTTACTAGTAAAACAGGAATAGTTACAAGTAGCTAATGGAATAGTTACTGGTAACTAAAAATCCACTAGTATCTAATCAATTGTTACTAGTTAAACAGGAATAGTTACAAGTAGCTAATGGAATAGTTACTGGTAACTAAGATCCACTAGTATCTTATCAATTGTTACTAGTAAAACAGGAATAGTTACAAGTAGCTAATGGAATAGTTACTGGTAACTAAAAATCCACTAGTATCTTATCAATTGTTACTAGTAAAACAGGAATAGTTACAAGTAGCTAATAGAATAGTTACTGGTAACTAAAAATCCACTAGTATCTTATCAATTGTTACTAGTAAAACAGGAATAGTTACAAGTAGCTAATAGAATAGTTACTGGTAACTTAAAATCCACTAGTATCTTATCAATTGTTACAAGTAAAACAGGAATAGTTACAAGTAGCTAATGGAATAGTTACTGGTAACTAAAGATCCACTAGTATCTTATCAATTGTAACTAGTAAAACAGGAATAGTTACAAGTAGCTAATAGAATAGTTACTGGTAACTAAAAATCCACTAGTATCTAATCAATTGTTACTAGTAAAACAGGAATAGTTACAAGTAGCTAATAGAATAGTTACTGGTAACTAAAGATCCACTAGTATCTTATCAATTGTTACTAGTAAAACAGGAATAGTTACAAGTAGCTAATGGAATAGTTACTGGTAACTAAAGATCCACTAGTATCTAATCAATTGTTACTAGTTAAACAGGAATAGTTACAAGTAGCTAATGGAATAGTTACTGGTAACTAAGATCCACTAGTATCTAATCAATTGTTACTAGTAAAACAGGAATAGTTACAAGTAGCTAATGGAATAGTTACTGGTAACTAAAGATCCACTAGTATCTTATCAATTGTTACTAGTAAAACAGGAATAGTTACAAGTAGCTAATGGAATAGTTACTGGTAACTAAAAATCCACTAGTATCTTATCAATTGTTACTAGTAAAATGGAAACAGTTACTAGTAACTACAAATTAAGTACTACAAGTCACTACAAGTGACTAAAAATTACCTAGTATCTAATGAATTGTTGGAATATTTACTGGGAAGAGTAAGTAGTAGTAGCTTTACGTTTTAAGGAGTAAATGAACATCTTGGCATAGTTGGGTAGGAACAGGCCAACCGACCACAGATGGAAACACGTGTTTCCAGAGTGTCCTTGTTTTACCTGTGTCTTTACCTGTGCCCCGTGGCCCAGAGCCAGAGATTTCCCGCCTAATAAGGACGCTGACATCTTGTGGTCGGTCTGATTGTTGTCTTCTTGTACTTGTAGATTTTTACTTTTCCTGTTGGATCGTTAGCATTAGCATTTTACTTTAGTCTCTTACTTGTGAGTTTCATTTTAAAGTTTCTAGTGATGTTTTTTTTGCCACACCTGTCAGATGAAAGGGCTCGACTTGTCTTGCTCACGCCGCCAGACTCCAGTCCGGGTTTTGCAGCTCTCCGCCGGGCACAGAGAGGCTTATCTCCTCTTCCTTTGTGTTTGAACCTTTTTTTTTTTTATTCAACCTGCTTTGTAGACCGGACCGGGAACACGGGAGGGAAACGTCGCCGTCTGCCGCTGCTCACAGCTCACTCATGTCTGCGGGACAACAGCCCGACTTCTCCAGCGACGCGGTGTTCAACAGCCGGTTCCCCCTCCACCGCGCATGTCGGGACGGAGATGTTGGCGCTTTGGTCTCCCTGTCTCAGGAGCTCCCGAACCGGGCTCATCTGACCGCTGAAGACTCCTGCTACGGATGGACCCCCATGCACTGGGCTGCTCACTATGGACAGGTAAACTAGTGGGGAAGTTAACTACTGGCTGCACTAAAACTCTGTCCGGGATGTTTTGAGATTTTACGCAGACGTTAGTCCTGCACACATCTTGCAGTACTAAAACATTAAAGCACTTAATTCGACAGTAGGGACTTGCATGAAGCATTTCAGAAAGTTTATATTTTATGGCAATGGTTGGTAAAAAATTGCACCATCTGCTTTTCTTTACTGTATTAAAACGTGCTGTATGCATGCTGCCATAATACAGTTATGTCTGACTGTTACTGTACAATAAAGTTATCATGGGGGGAAAAAATATTTAAATAAATAAAGTAACGATTTGCAGCGTTTTCATTGGTTCCCATTGAGCCAGTAGCTTTTCAGGCGCCAAAAACAGCTGTAAGGAAAACGTGCAGGTGCATCTAATAACATTAGAGTAGGACTTTTGGAAAAAGTTCATTTTTTAAGGTAATATAATTAAAAAAGAAAAACTTTCATATATTCTAGATAAGTGTTTTTCAAAAGTCTGAGAATGCGGGCCTCCCCTCCTTTAGTTTACCTGGTCAGTTTTGCTCTAGTCCTTTATTTTTTTACTGAAACAGGCAAGAACAGTTTCTTATTTACAATAAGGGCCTGGCCGCAGAGAAAAGCCTCCTGTAGGGTGTGGGTAAGTAAAATAACGTAAACAAGAGGCAGAATAACAAACCTCATAAACCAGTCACAAAGACATAAATAAACAACATGAAAGAATAATTAAACACAGACAACCGAAACATAACAGACTAAGACATGCAACAATCTACAGAGAGAAACCAATTCAGCAAATGGCACAATAGTTTAATTAAATGACTGCAGCAGGGCAACAAATAACAAGATCAATACATAGCACCGCATGAAGCAGAGACAGATTGCTGTAAATAAGTTGGTGATTTTGCCTTTAAAAGTGGCAGTGGTGACTAGAGTGGCTAGAGTGTATTGCTTTTTAGTAGTAGTTGGTTCCTGGATGCCTAAAGGATCATGATCACACTCAAAATCACACATTTAGGCTATTCTATCCCCTTTTGATAATTAATGTAATAGGCACTTTATTATGTAATTAAGCATTATTATTATTATTTTTAGAACTGAGTACTGATTTCGTTCTTCATGTTTACATGGCAGAATGACAATAAAGATCCTTGTTGAATCCTTGTCATCCTTGAATCATCCTTGAATATTTTTTTCACTGAGCCTCTCATGAAACAGTTTAAAGGCCCAACTCTCACTTTGAAAACCTCTATTCTAGATTCATTACACATGACGTGAAATATTTCAAGCCTTTGTTTTGTTTGTTTTAATCTTGATGATCACGGCTTACAGCTCATGGAAATCAAAACTCTGGTGTCTCAAAATTTATTAGGAGGCTCTTGTCAGTATTCTTCAATAGTTCAATGACACGGTTCTCCCGATGTTGGATTATTTCGCTTGATTCTTTGTTTAACAACAGATGTTTTTTGTGGTCTAATTACTGGCTTTTGTTTTGTCTTTCCGTGCACGCAGCTGGAGTGCGTGGTGCGTCTGGTGCAGATGGGTTGTGAGGTAAACACGGTGACCAGCCGCTTCAACCAGACTCCAACACACACTGCAGCGTTTGGAGGACATCCTCACTGTGTGGTGTGGCTGACTCAGGCTGGGGCTGACGTCAACGGGCAGGTCAGTCTTTCAACAACGTCCAGTAGCGCTGTAACCAGATGTAATATTGTGCAATTACATTCCAAATGTGTCATATCTGATTACATTTTTTTAGGATCTAGAGACTTGTTTAAAATCTGGTAAACACAAATGTGAAAGGATCAACATAAGTCTAGTATTATGAAAGTAGAAAACAATTATCTTCTTCCGACCCTGTACGCAGGATAAGCGGTTGACGGTGGATGGATGGATGAAAACTATAAAATCCATTTGTAATTGTAATGTATTTATTATGTTCTTGTCAAGCTATTGAACTAACAGTGAAAAGTATTTATTTCACTATAAAGAGAGAGAGTACACCTAAGACTGAGAGCGTTGACTGTGGTTTCAGATTTTCCACTTAACATTTCAGCCTGTACATGTGTTCAAATGTGCAATATGTCACCTTTTATAAATGGATATCCCCTGGAGTTTTACATTGTGTCTTCAGGATTTTGTAGGTGAGGCTCCCATCCACAAGGCAGCTCGATCAGGTAGCTTGGAGTGTATCCAGGTCCTGTTGATAGCAGGTGCTAAGCCACAGTAAGTATCCTGCAGTCTTACCTCTGTGCAGCAACATAGCAGCTCTGTCTGAGTCTGAAGCACCAGGTTTGGTAATAATAATCCCCACTTTTAACGTTTAAAAGATACACTTGCTGGTGTTGGTGAGAAATCCTCACTGCTGGTGTCAGCCATCCTTCAAATGTCACACGGCCATACACCAGCAAGTCAAAAGTAAATTCAAATGATTCTGTGATCTGCGATTTGCCATTTGTGAGACACAATCTATGACAGCTGATTTAAAAACAGCCCAAGATCTGACTGTGCCCACATTAAGCCATCTGAGTTTTAAAACAGCATTTCCATATGAAATGATTTGCGTTCGCATTAATGTCCATGTCGTGTTTTTATAGAGACCTATGTCCGCAGAGAAATTATTAGGCTATATTTGCATTTAAAATACGATAACGGAGAAAGTTAGAGGCGGCTAAAGTTTGTCTTCTTAAATTTAATACCACACAGACCTCAACACTCATTGAGCAGCCCCCGACATAATTTTCTAAATTTTCTGGTAGTGATGAACGCAAAGAGACTTGTCATTAACTCTGCACTTCCTCTCAGCCCTACAGAGCTTCTTAGATTATTTTAGTTTATTGTTTTAGCCCCCGGGCGGCATGGTGGTCCGGTGGATAGCACTGTGGCCTCACAGGAGGTGAAGTTTGCATGTTCTCCCCGTGCTCCGGCTTCCTCCCACAGTCTAAAGACATGTGGCCTAGGTTGATTGGTGACCCTAAAATGTCCTTAGGTGTGAGTTGTGAGTGACTGGTTGTTTGTCTATGTGAGGCCCTGCGATGGATTGGCGACCTGTCCAGGATGTACCCTGCGTTTCGCCCGAATGGGATTGGCTCTGTACGCAGGATAAGCGGTTGCCGATGGATGGATGTTTTGGCCCCACAGGCTTTGCTCTCAGCAGCTGCAGCAGGCAGATGTGTTCACTGACAAACACTGTGGTTGATTTGTTGGACATGGAATGGCAATCAGTGGCAGTATATACGCATCACGTTCTTTTCAGCCTACACGCTGAAACACCATGGCAGCTTTAAGATGGACACACTCTGGAGGCCGTTTTGGGAAAGCTCATATTTTCGGGTGAGAAAAACACAGTTTTATGGCTGAAACTGAGAGAACAAGATGCTAAATGTGGACACACTCAGAAATTTAGGACCATTTTAAGTTTCACAATGTGGCTGTTTGTCTCTACAAACCAACCAATCAGAAAACAACATGAAATACAAATACAATTAATCATTAATAATCTCCTTCCATAAAGCAGGACTTAAAGTCTAGAAATATTCCATTGGCTGGAAGTTGGCATTGGTTTCACAGGAAATGTATAGAATTTATTTAATTCAAAATAGATCTGACATCTACAACTGTACTACAGAATATTGAAATCATTCTTCTCATGCTTGAACTTACATTATACCATAAAAACTGAAATGTGAGAATGAAATCGATTCTGTTTCTGATGCTTTTGTGCAATTTTGTGAAAAGGGTGTTATAGGAAGTACATTATTTTAGAATTAGGGGTGATGAAAAACACTGAATGTTGGTGCTGGTAAGGTATTAGTTCCTCTTTGATTTCTTTTGAAGAGCAGATTCTGCTGCCTGTCGAGGTGAATTGGCCTTTTAGTTTTTAAATGAAAGAAGAAAGACTAATATATTCCTCAACGTAAGGCACAAAAAGAACACATCATTTGGTATTGTTCAGATACTCAGGTCCCGTATTGACACTGGTGTGGGAACAATTCAAATGTTACCCGGCCTTTAGTAGAAGCTGGTCTGTCCTGTGTCTGTGATGGTGCTAAATATTGTTTTTTTATTAAAGGTTCAGTGTGTAAGATTTAGTGGCATCTAGTGGCGAGGGTTGTGAAATGCAACCATCTATCCAGTCTACCACTGCCCCCTAACCTTTCAAAGAGCGTAGGACTGCTACAGTGGCTGACAACAGCACAAAAGGTGTCTCTTGTGAGACAGCAGAGAGTGTCCAGTCAAGAAATGAGGGTTCTTTAGGTATATTTATTAAGAAATTATATTTACTTAATTATTCAGTAAAACCATATGTTATTGTGACTTGGCCACTGAAAGAAAACATAGAAAATGTGAGCCAAGAGTGTGAAACACCACAGTCCATTATAAACCACACATTAGATAAAGTTTACACAAACACTGACAAAGGAAACACATTCATTCACTCTGTGATTATGGACCATCGCCAAAACTGCCTGCCAACAACAATATGTGGCCCGCGGGCAGATTATGGTGCTTTGATAGTGGTAAAAAATATAAATAAATAAATGCTTGGATAGCGGTGCTGAAATAGATCTCAGTCATGACAGCAACAGTTACTCACACAATCACTTCCTCTTTAGTGGTTTTGCCTACAACATGAAAGCACGAGAAGCTTGTTTACTGTAATGCAGTATTTGGGGTTGAACTGAGCTTTACTCATTAAAAGAGTCTGTAGCTGCTTGACACACCTCTGAAAGAGCCGTCAGAGAGCGTGATTCCCCTAAATGTCCTCTGCCTGGAGATACTGGGGAATTTGTTTAAGAGAGAAACCAAAAAAGTTGTCTCGAGGTGGGATCAAACACTCAAACCTTGGGTTGTGTCCTGCACCTTACCGACTAAGTTAACCAAACAACATGTTGACGTAAGTCATTATTGTGGCTTATATTCTCATCCACCATCTAACGGTTGAAAGTATTGCTCCAATGCAAAACATATTTGCCGACCCCTGCTGTATATTACTACTACTTCTTCTTCTTGTAACGTACGTATTCAACACAGTGATGTTTGTCTGCGCTGCATGAATTCTACCAGAAGTAGAACAAGAAGAACGTAGTGACGAAACGCGCTCTGTAGCGCTGTTTGTCCGTTTTCAGCTACTGTAGAAACATGATGGTGCAAAGTGGCGACGTCGATGGGAGGGGGTGCCCGCAGTTATGTAGATATAAATGTCTCATTCTAAGGTAATAAAAACGTAATGGTTTATTAATTAAGGTCTTTACACACCACTGAAAACATAGTTATGGATCTTATATCGCAATAGATTGTCAGAAATATTACACACTGAACCTTTAAATTTAAATGAAAAAAATATTGATTTTAAATTTAATTGAATAGATGGTGTCATTTTACATTAGAATATGTATATAAGACTTATTTATTGGTTGAACGTTTACAGAACCTGCAGCAGGTCTTAGTGACTCAGCATCCTCTGGACCTCTAAACTGTCTAAGACTGAGGAGCTACTTTTAGTGTTAAAACTTAGTCCTAAAGTTGACACCAATATTATTTTTTTGGTATGTCTCCTAACTAACCCAACTAAGTGATCAAATATTTAATGAATGCAGCTTTAATATTTAGTTTTTTTCACTACAGTTTGTATTGGATTTAACTTCAAAAGAAATCAAATGAGTTGTGGTTGATTTGGACATCTGTGTCTGTAACACGACCTTCAGCCTCAGGGACAGAAAAGACGGTGTGTAGAAACTTGTAGTACCCGTTACTTTTTATTTGACACTGTTTGAATGGTCATACCATGTTACATTTTGAACTTAGTGTTTTAGACATGCTTTTGGCTCATTTGATATTTTATGTAAAGAAACTGCTGGAAGACACCCTGCACGTTCTGATGTTTTACAGCTACTGAATGTGAACAGGATTTTCTTAACTAATCCCAGAAAGAGGGGAGGAGTCCAAAAAGGCACTGCACAATCTTGACACATGTGCATCAGCGAGCGTCTTACAGTGTTCACTATCGCTTCCCACAGCTGGCCAACTGGCGAGGTACTTCCTGCCGTGATTGGTTTTTAATACTAAGAAAACACTGATTATAGTCATGTCTAGACCTGCATGCTTGTAACAGATTTTTAGACACTGTGCTAACAAACTGTGAGCTTACTGGACCTCAGGAGTCACCTGGAGGAGGATTGCGCTGTTGTAGTGGGAAATAAGCAGAGTAGACAAAGAATGCATGTCAGAAGATAAATAAAATAAAATGGTTGACTAAAACAAAATATCATGAGAACGTTTATCTGCTGTGATGAGTGATGGCATTGTTTCTAACAAAATAATCTCACCTTGCCAACTAGCTTTTTCTGAGCTCCTACCTCCCATCTCCTTGACCTAAGTGCCGCTGCATAATAACAGCTGGTCTTATATGGAGTGTGTCACATGATGGCGTCTGAGCCATCGCCGTGATAAGTGAACAAGCTCCATCCACTGTTGAAAACCACGAGATGCGTTTGAAAGCTCAGAAGAATCCAGTTCGCGGGCATCAAATTATGTTACGGATCCCGAGGTCAAGAAGCTTCCAAGCACACAATCTGTATTGAAGAAAGAAAGTTAAACTGTGTGGCAACTCTGATAAAAGGAGCTCCTCTCAACACCAGACAAGACACATTTTCAGACTTACTGTTGAGGACTATCAAATAAAAAGCCCTGATCCATAATGAGTCATTGTATTCCTTTGCTAAACCTTTTAAACTTTTAATAAAAACCTTGCTGCTGTTCAGCATTCAGAAACCATTACTGGCCGTCTCCTTCCTCCCAGTTTAACAGTAAATTCTCTGAAAATACTCAAGACAATACAAATTGCCTGAGCCGATCTGAAAGGTCACAGAAGAACCTGGAAATAAGTTGCATCATGGGCTCTCTGTAGGGCTCTCCACTTTAACACTGGTCTTATGCTGCGTTCCAGGCAACTCGGAAATGTCCTACTAGAAAAAGTACCATTGAATACACTTGAAGTCAGAAAAAAAATCCCCGACTTCACGAGTAGCAGCTGAATGACGTCCCTAAACCATAAAATAAAAAACATAAAGTATATTTGCACATTTCATTAAAGTAACACATACTATCGTATTGTGAAACCTGTTGTTGCTGCATGTAAATTGATGTAGAAATATGTTACCGGTGTTATCATAGGTACAGCAAGGGCACTTGTGAGGGTTCGATTGACAAAGGACCATCAGTTTATCACAGTCAGCCATGTTTTTTGTTCACTTCCGGCGTCATGAACCAGCACGCACCTGGAACGCTCTCAGGTCGGTAAAAAATTCCCAGTTGAAATTTCCGAGTTCCAAGCAGTCTGGAACGCAGCATTAGCTCTGGTTTTAGCCCCTGTTAATCCAGGACTCCATTATCTAAGCACCATGTCACACGTGCAGCTACACAGTGGGATGTCCAGCAATAATCAGCCCCCCTTTAGAGCTGGGTTATCTCTTTCTGTTCAGGGTTATCTTCAAAAACACAGGATTATGATAACGCCTGTCAGTCAGATTTAGAACAAAAGCACCAAGCCAGATAAATTAGAAACGTCAACCGTCATTACAGTTATATATTGGTGCTGTGTATACTGTATGTTAGCTGAATTTTGGCCCTTAAATTATTCAATCCGATTAACACTAGGAAATACTGCATTATCATCCTGCATTAAAATAAAACTTTTCATTTTGTCTGGTATTGAGAGAGACAATTCATCTAAATTTAATTGTTTCATTAACAGGACTGTGTTGTGTAAACTGTGTACTTTCTTGTTCATGTTTTGTACTACAGAGGATAGATCTTCCGTTAGTTTTGATAGTTTAGTTTTTGTATTGTAATCTTGTATTTGATAGCTTAATGTATTCACAATTGTGGCCACTTATTTCTTTTATTATCTTCTCTTTATAAGTGAGATCTCATTTTAGCAGCCCACCAATAAGATTTTAATCATTTAGCAAAAATGAATGTGTTGTGTTCTTCTTGTTCAGTTTAAGGAATGCCAACGGGCAGACAGCAGCAGACCTGGCCCACGCTCACGGCTTTCAGGACTGTGTCCTCTTCATCTCCAAAACCCAGAAGCACCTGCTGCAACTCGGCGGACTCCACGTGAACGGACTGCAGAATGGAAACGGTGACCCGTGTGGTCCGGGCCTGCTCAGCAGAAAGAGGCTGATGACTGCTGTGGACACGGGTCACATGAAGAAAGCCAAGAAAACCGATAGTAAGACATCTGTTATATGTTTTATTAGTTGAAATTTGACTTTGATTACACATTAAGAGACCAGAAACATCAACAAAATCATATATGAAGATGTAAACCATCCACCAATAGAATCAATAAAAAACCAAAACACTTTTATCCAGTGAGATCATTTAATTTTTACTGCTCTCCTGATTGGTGCACAGGCCATTTAAAATAATGGAGAAACAGAAAGTCTCATGTAACCCAAACTGTTGTAAGTGGTGGACAAAATAACTTTTCTGGGTCTTTTAAGGTACAGACTAAACACCTTACCTTCCACTTTGCTTATAAAAGTCTGAAATACAACCAATCTCAGAAAACAGTGAAACATGCCCATCACAATTTCCCACAGCTCAGGCGATTCTTTGGTTAAAAACAACATTTACATCACGAAAATGGAGACATTTTCAGATATAAAATCCACAATTAAATGAAGGAGTTTTGTTCATTATTTCACTGTAGGATCAACCGATGACCCACTGGTCTGTCTTCCTTCATTAATTTGCCTTTTTAGCTGCAATATTGCACATATTGTCCAAATAAAGCTTCTGAGAGTGTATAGAATAAGTCAGAGTTGTTAGCTTATAACTTGATCCCTGAAAATTTTATATCTCTGAAATGTACATGTCCCGACCTAAACTTTGTCTTTACCTTCTTTGGTTATTCTGAAGCAATGGATGTAAATGAAGCCTTGAAAGTTGATGCAAAAACAAATGTCTACAGCTGTCCTGATGTGTGAACACCTTGAAACAACCTCGGCCCCTTAATACAACCTCAGAAGCTTTGTTCGGACAATATTATATATAATATATTGGATGCTGCTCTCTTTTGTAACATTTAAGGTTTTTCACTGGACTTGTACTACTTGTAATTCAATACTAACAAACTCAAACTAAAAAAACTTTTGACCGGTAGTGTATATGATGTCATGTGTCCATGCATCTTTCTTCTCCGGCTGCTGCAGATGTGTTGGTGCAGACGCAGAGCAGTGAAGGTGAGGAGCTGGAGAGCATGAACATGGACTCTGCACCGGAGCTCGGCTCAGGTTAGACTGCAGCTTTTTTGTTACACTGATTTGTCGCTGATTACGATAAACAAAGCGTGTTTTGTGGAGATCACAAAATAATGTGGCGTGATCTGCTTATAAAGAGAGTAACTTTCAATATTTGCTTTTAAAAAAAAGCAGATGACTACAACAAAGCCATCACCAATGGCCATCATCACACGGCGCCTTACGCTGACCAGGATGGCCCCGAGCCGCCTAAGAGCCTCTCCTCGCCGTCCTCCCATCCAGCCAATCAGCAGTCAGCAGCTCAAGCTCAGGACTCGTTTGCCGACATGTGTGGGTCGCTGCACCTGAGCAGCAGTCCCAGCAGCTGCGTGTCCCACCGGCCGTCCTGGCGCGGGCTGACGGGAGCAGACTGCGGGGACTTCCTGCATTACGGACACTACCACGGCTTCGGAGACACGGCAGAGGAGCTGAGCGACAGCAGCCACCTCCACTACAGCAGCGGCATCCAGGCTGAGCACAAACACAAGAAGGCTGTGGCGAGCGCCGTCCACCTCTACCACGGCTCATAAAGACAGAGGGTTAGCCTCACAGCCAGCCTGCTGCACACGGGGAAGGATTTGTTTTTTTTTTAAATGCTTGCTTTAAAGAACTCTGACATTCTGTGAAATAATAATTTGAAGCCAAACCTAAAGTCACTACTACACAAATCTAGTGTCTAATTAACATTAGTCGACATATGTTGTAGAAATGAAAATGGAAAAAAGATAGTTGTGGTTTAGGAAAAGTTGGCATTGGAGATGTTTGCAGCAGCTGGGTGTGGTGAATGCACACGCTACCTGCGTCCCAGCTCCACACCCCAAGCTATACTGTCATAGTTTATACAAATTTGCACTTCTCCCGTCATCTTTATGCTTTGTGGTCACGTAAATTTTAATTATATACGGTGCACATCACACTCAGAATCGAGTGTATTTTAGTCTATTTTTTATACTAAATGTTGTTGCTTTTTCATATTTAACATCAGACTCAAAAACTGTTGAACTGAGTTAGTGTTTAAAATGGAAACGGGACAGAGCTAGTGTCCAATAGTCCTGTCCTCATGGTGGGGTTACCAGCTATCCATACTGACTAAAGTAAACACAGGTGACTCTTGGGTGTAGCGGTGAGGAGCTCTGCAGCTGTGGGAAGCTGTCGTACTTCACTTTTGACAGTTTTCCCCTGCTTGTAGTCTTTGTGCTAAGCTAGGCTAAACACAATCTAGACCTCCGGTATCTCTGCACAAAAATGAAACTGACAATAATACTACTAATATTGTCAGCCGTGGATGGTCTTTGCTCAGTTCTCCTGGAGATGTCTAATATCCAAATGAAACAACGCAGACATTTCTCAAAATGTCAGATGTCTCTTTTAAGGCTGCAGTATTTTGGATTTATCTCAAATGAAGGCCAGATCTGTGACCCACTGGCTCTGGATGTGACGGTGTTAACAGGTTTGTTGGCTGGACTAATTGAATTCCCCAGTGTCCACATCTCCGTCTGTCGTTGGTCAGAAACGTTTCCTGTTTGTTTCCTGCTCACATATAATGTTGATTCTCTGTAGTAAACAGCTGGAGGTGTGCATTGTTGAGGAGCTGCACCTGTCAGACAGTGTAGTATTACTTTCCTGAACTTCCTCTGTCACCTTCTAGTCTCCATATATCCTCACTGAAGTCGAGTTTAAAGGAACACGCCCCATTTCCTGCAGTGTATTTCTGTATTTACAACATTGACCTTTCTGTTAGTCTACTGCTAATGCTGGCTGGTTTGCACTATTAAGGGCAGTCAGGTTGGATTATGTGGTGTTTTGTGCATGTGGACAGTAGTTGAGGTGTGTGTTGATGGAGGCGGTCCTCTCTCCATGTGGCCTGATCTGCCGTCCTTCAGCAGGGAGGAACAACTGCACTGATACTGAATACGCCTTGTTAGCTTCGATCTACCAAAGGGAATGTATTAGTGTTTGTGTTTTTCATTGCATTTCAAATTTTTGTATTTATGTTTTAGAGCAGTCCTTAATCAGAGCTGTTTTGTAATTTTATAAAGCATACTGCTGTGTGCCTCTTTTTGTAAACACTATGTCAGCTGTGTGAAAATGTGCAGCATTTTGTGCCAAAACACTGACACCAACCAGGCACCGCTGCTTCTGACAATTGTTTTTATACTTGTTCTGCGTCTTTTCCAATAAAACATGTTTTACAGTTTCATAAAAATCGACCAAATTTATGAGACTTTCTTTATGTTGTGAGGGATTTATATGAGTTGAGGTATCATTAGCTTTTCCTTCTTTTACGTTGAATAAAAAGTACTTTTAAAATCGTCTAGACTGAAAACACTTACACATTATTAGTCCATAATTTCCTTGTATACCTTGAGTTGTTTGGGTTAGTAGTAGCATAAGTAGATGTTGATGTCTGTCTGTTGGCTGCTGTGCTCTGACAACGACTATGAGTAACGCCAGCAGTTCATTGGGAATGTACCAATCAAACACTCTGTTCCCTGTAGTTTTCCCTGGATTTACAACCATGATAAATAGTCTTTACATATCTAATTATTTTGAGCAAATTATACATATGCAAAACAACACGGTTTTCTCAGCAGTGAGAGAATAATTGATTATTTTATCCCATGTGCTATATGCAGCAAACAATCCCAAAAGCTAAAGTTTGAGAATCTCACTGTGAAAGTCTAAAAGACAAAATAGACTTCCGGCTGCTAGAGCTGCAACGATTAATTGATTAGTTGTCGACTATTAAATAATCACAATTTTGATAATATATTAATCGGTTTGAGTATTGTTTAAAGAAATGAAGTTAAAATTCTCTTATTCCACTTTCTTAAATGTGAATATTTTCTGGTTCCTTTACTAATCTATGACTGTAAACTGAATATCTTTGGGTTGTGGACAAAACAAGACATTTGAGGACGTCATCTTGAACTTTGGGAAACACTGATATAGACCAAACAAAAATGAAAAGGATCTTTAGTTGCAGCCCTGCTGGCTGCCATGTGATCTTTTTAATATCAGTCATAACGACTGACACCAATTACTGACACGGACAGTCAGAGAAATAAAACCTCTTAAAACTCTGCCAAACACATTATCTTAACAAATCCATATGACGCATTAATCAAACCTTTAAAAACCTTTATTCCTCAAGAAAACAAATGTGTCAAGCTGCGTGTGAATATTTAAGCGTAGACGTAATATATAATGTGTTTGATCAAGCACAAAAACAATTCCTATACGTGACAGACAACTTCTCAGCACAACGTCCTCTAGCAGATGGTTTCAGCCTTCTTTGGACGAAACCAGCCAAGATTGGACTTTCAGTAATACACTCACACAGAGTGAGAGCTGCTAGTTTAATAGGTACACCTAGCTAAAAGTAGAGCTGTCTCATACAACCCGACTGCAGAAAATCCTTCATGAGAGTTTCAGAGAGGTGTTGTTTCAACTGTCCGGTCATTTTGGAGGATGAGGTTTGTGGTGCTGTTTGAACTGCACTGTTTAAATACTAACAGGTGTTTCCATTTTGTGTCTGAGGGAATGAGGGGAGGGGAAAAGGATAAACTACATCCTCCAAACTGACAGTACAGTTGAATGATTGCCTCCCTAAAACAACATAAGACCATTCATTGCAGGAAAAATCCTGTATATACAATATGCACATTATATGGGACTATCAAGAATTAAAAAATGTATCATTTAATAAATGTAACTCTTATATTACATTACTATTACCTAAAAAAACCCACAAAGCAATGAGAATATTTTGTCTTGGTTTAAGCTTAAATATTCTGAAAACAGACTCCAGCTCCTACCAGCAGCAACCACCATTGATCATTTCCAGCTCATTTTAGGAGAATGAAAGCAACGTCTGCAAAACCTGACAACAAAAATGTTTGCACCATACGTCACCATACGTCTGCTGACCAAGAACTTGTTGTATGTAGGTGTGGAGGCAGAAATCTATGGACAGTTGCAGTTAAACCAAGCGTATGCATACCACTGAAGGGTAGTGAGAAAAGGTTTTTTTTAAAAACCAGGCCTTTAACGCCAACTGCCATTTTGTTATGTATTTATACAAATACTGGAAGAACTCGAGTGGCCCAATGTTTGACTTTTAGAAACCTCAAAGATAACAGAATCAAGAATGATTTCCGTCACAACTTGGCATTTTTATTGCAGTTGAAGTAGTAGCAGTATTGAAGCTGCTGCTAAAACCTTGTCTGTTCCGTGTGTCCATCACAAGTAATGTCATCAAAACCAAGAACTCATTTTTTTTTAAATTGCTTTATTTCCAATCTAAAATATCACTTCATCAAAAGAAAAGATCAAAACGGGTGCAAAAATGCAGCACACAACAGAGAGTATGCATTACAACATATTTCATGAAAGCACAATACATATAAAAGCTGCTAAGCGTCACCTCCCCAGATCCAGCTGAAGAGTCTTCTGCAGACTGGCTATGCTGGCGTCCAGAGCTGCCAGGCCGTCTCTGAACGCTGCCTCGTCTATGGTGTTACAGACTGACCCCGACCTCGTGCTCCAATCAGACAGCACGGACTCCACATCACACTGGGACAGTGTGGAGTTCAACAGCCGGCTCCGCTCCTTCTCCAGCCGCCGCCCACGTGACTGGACTTCATCTAAACAGCGCGATTGGTCGAGGTGGGAGTTTTGCTGGCGGGCTGAAGTCTCTGCACGTTTGACATCAGGATGTGATAATGTGTCTCTCAGCTGGACTGAGGTCAGATTCTTTAACCCTAGCGTGTTTCCTTCTCCCTCTGCAGCCACACACTCATGCACAGTGTGTGTGGGCTCCAGCTGAGCCATAGACATCAGGTACTGAGCGATGCGGTCTGTGGGAGGCTCTGCTGGCTCCGGTCTGTCAAAATGTGAGCCGTCAACAACCACAGGGCAATCAGATGAAGCCCGACTCTGAAGAATCCTGAAATGGACGCAGATGACGAGAAATGTGAGGGATTTCCTTTATCAAATGCATTCTCGTGTTCGAGGAATTTTCAGCATTTTCAGCACTTCTCAAAATAAACACAAACACACAGGCCTACCTGTTGAGATGTCCTATCTCTTCCAGCCTTTTTTGGGCGAGTGAAGCCAACTCACTCTTCTCCTGCTCGCTATCCAGCAACCTGCTTCTAGTGGCCTCCAAGTCTGCACACACAGCCACACACATATCACTACAGAAACACATTTACATTATGGAATAAGCCCACCAATATATTCATCATTGTGCAGTTATCTTGATCGGGCTGAAGCAACCGTATAGCCTGATAATACCTTATAACAGATATGTGGGCAAGTAAATGTCAAAAATATATTTGCGGTCATTTAGAAACGGTGTCTCCGTAACATAGTTTCTGCACCACAGGGCATAAATTAATTTACACGCCCTTTTATTTAAATTTAAATCTTTCTTGCCTTAAAATTAATGCATCTCTCTGTGTGCTGTGTGTTTATATCTCTTATTGACACTCTTACTTACTTTCCATTGTAATTTTAAATGTATTTTAGCTGTCCGGGTTTTGTTTTCATCGGTGAAATCGAAGTCGAAAATTACATTGGCTGATTGTTAAGAGCTTTATTATCTATAGGCTACTGGCCCGGTCTCACATGGGCTTCAGTCATATATTCAGCACACTAGTGAAGAACTCAGGATAGTAGACTGAGCATTCAAGCTGATGCAGACGACACCTTTAACACCACACAGTCGGAGCACTGTGAGGCGAAGTTAGAGCATCACCAAGCTGTACTCTCAGCAGGACTGTGTGTCTCAACCTGTCTTGATGAGGGCATTCTCAGACTCTCTGTCTCTCAGTTGGCTCTGTGTGTCCTGAAGGGCTTTCCGTAGTTCTGTGAGGTCATCCTGGAGTTCCTGCAGTCGGCACTGAGCGTCGGTGAGCTCCTCCTGCAGAGCCGACACTGTGGAGAAACGCATATCCTGAAAAAGTTCCTTTTCCTCCGTAATTTAAGTCAAAAAGTGAAACTTTCATACATTCTAGATTCATTACACAAAGTGAAATATTTCAAGCCTTTTTTGGATTTGATCTCAATGATTATGGCTGTCTCAGTCTGGTTCTCACAATTAACTTTTCCACGATATTCCCATCCCTTTAGTCCTGAATGTGAACTTCACAGAGAGCAACATAAAACACACGCAGGGCGTTACCTTCTGAGTTACAGAGTGTCTTCATGCTTTCTTGTCTCTCTGCTTTCTCTCTCTCCTTTAACTGCTGGTTCAAAAGCCTCACACGTCTTGGACACACGCACACAAACACACAGTAAGGGTCCATGTCTGAAGTGAAAGATAAAGTAAGGACTGTGTGTGTGTGTGTGTGTGTGTGTGTGTGTGTGTGTGTGTGTTACCTGCGGAGCTGAGTGTTCTGGCTGTGTAGTGATGATACGTCCGCTTCAGTCTGGATGTTTGAACTACCAATATTCATCAGTGGTGAGGACACAGCCTGCTCTAGATGACTGAGCAGCCTCTCTGCTACACTACCTGCAAACACACAGACACACACACACACTAAATGTGGTTTTTCTGTTACTGGGAACAAGCTGTGAACTGCAAAACAAAGAAGGTGTTTCCATCAGTTGTGACAAAGCGCCAGCTGTGGCTCATCTAATGTGGAGGGAGAACACAATCAACTTTTCTGCATTAATGGTGTGGGCTCTTAAAAGGGAGTTTTTCCTTTTGCTCATGGTGGAAATTGTTGGGTCTCTGTGAATACCATTACAAAGAATACAGTCTTGACAAATAGAGGACAACACATATTATTTAGCACAAGAGCCAACAGAGCGTGTCGGCCACCAACATTTCTACTACGCGCTTGCAAAGGGAGCGGTGAGCGGTGACTGTGTCTGTAGATTCTGGTTACCTTGTCCAGCGATCAGAGCCTTGAGTTCTCCCAGCAGATAGTGAACGGTCTTCACGTCTGTCTCTGCTCTGCAGTCCTCCTCGCTCTGTGTGTCCTGAGGGACGCCGTCAACCTGTCCAGGCTCCAGCTGCACGTTTGACATCTTCATGATGCAGGCGTGTATGCGTGAGTGAGCGTCTTCAACAGTGCTGTGGGTGTTGGTGTCTCTAACGGGAACAAACTCCTCCTCTTCGCTGTCACACTCTTCCTTCGCGTGTGGAGCTGCAGAAGCAGCCCGGCAGTCTGTCAGAGGGAGAGGCAGCCGGCCCGACGGTGAGGG